TTCACACTTTTCTTTCCAATGCGACTTAATTTCACTTGTTTTTTTTTAATTTTGGGGTAATTAATATCACCGGCGATTGAGTGATAAAAAATCGGAGTGCAGCAAATCGGGGTTGATCTTCCCGACGTACGCCGTGACTTGTTTTGTCACATTGTTGCCGTTGCGTGCAATGGGCAAATTATTGCTACTCTAGTATTTTTGTTTGGATTTGGAGGCTCTGCACCCCGGCTCTGCATCCTTGAAAGACTTCGCAACTTATTGCAGACTTCCGTTTTTATCACTGTCTTTGTATGGCTAACAAAAGCGGGATTACCTTTCGATCAATACATGTTACTGTTTTAAATTCGTGCAAGACGAGACTGACACTTGTAAACAAAGCAATAAGCATCACGGGCCAGTGACCAAGCGTCACGGACAAAGGGCAAGCATCACGGCCGAGTGTCCAAGCGTCACGGTACCGTGTCGCTTCAGAGGCCTGGGGAGAACACTGTTCTTACCGGGCATTCTTAGCATTGAGATGAAAATAAATAGTCATTTTGTGTCGTCATGAACGTCAACATGCGGGTTTGCATGATGAGCACGGGAGATTACTTCATAATAATATACAGCTTTTTGATTGGCATAGAGTTTTTTTCTGAGACATTTCCCGTGAAAATTTATTCACAGGATGACTTGTGTTCTAGGCAGTGAACTTAGTGAACTTTTGAATAATGACTATTTTTCCCACTGTTAACAATGTGAGCTTATCATGAATATGTTTAATTAATACTGAGTTATTCAAATAAAGGTTCTGGTGTCTACATTGCATATTTTGTTGTGATGTTTTGTTGTACCATCATCAATGGTACATTTTGTGGAGCAGACTGCCTAATTTGATGTCATAAAATTACACACAAAATTAGAGCTCAGGTTGCACCAGCAAGCACCATTTTCAGCGGACGACAGAGGAGACACCTCCCTCTCCTTCCCCGTTGTGCTCGGTCGCAGGAAAATGCTCCGCAGTTTCCAGACAAAGTTTACTAATACTTTTTTTTCTTGATTAGTAAATTTACTATTACCTAGCAAATTCCAGAGAGAGCCCAGAAACACTTCATTTTACAAGGCAATAATTGGTAACTTTTTTATTACATATGCATTGAAGTGGAAGACTTACTGTTCACCATCCATTAGTTTTGTTAGAATTCCTTCGCTTCCATCCATTGACACTTCAAATCCAGGCAATTTAGGAAGATCATTGTGGGAATCTTTTTCCAGGTTGATTTCATTTTGAAGATATTTTGATAACTCTTTATCCCCTTTATTATAGAAAAAAAAATAATAGTCAATTCAATAGAAGTATGCAACATGAAAAAGCTCAATTAAAAAAAAAAAAAAAATGTTTTTGTTTACCAAACAGTTGTCTTGTTTGGTTCGAAATTGGACACTCTTGGATTCACTGCAAAGGGGTAAAACCAACATCGACAATATTGGTCAATGAAAGCTGTGAAACCAGGGCTAACACTGGGATAGTGCTGCCTGTATGTTGTTCCTCAATCAGCTGGGGAGTTGCATGACACGATTGGTTGAAATAATCGTCTCATTTGCATAAATTAATATTCATGAGCAAAGAAAAACTCATCTTTTCAGTAAAATTGTGCCAAAATGCTTTCTGATAGCATACATGTTAGTTCTAAATTGACTGATTCTATCGTTAAGAGCTGAAAAAATAATCGGAAAAATGATGTAAAAGTATTTTTTGAAACACGTTTTTCGATCGGACTCCACCTAATTGTTGAAAGTAAGCACAGGTTTTCTCTTTACCATGATCATAGCAAGTTGCGATATTCATGGAGAATGCAGAAGCACGTTTAAATTTCAATCTAGTACTATTGCTCAAAATTGCTCAAAATGTTTTCGGTGACTTTTATCAGTGACAAGTTACCTAATTAGTATGCATTTCGAGAAACCAGTGTGTGTGCATGCGCAGTTTGAAATGGAACAGTTTTGAACTCTAAATCAATAAAATCAATAAAATCACGCGTAGAACTCGGGCTCCAGCAAGAAATTGTGGCGTTTTGCTGGTTGTCGGTTGAATTGTTTTGCAATAGACATAATTTTGAAGCCTGTATTTGTCCATGAAATGTTCCTAAGTTTTGTTGAGGATTTTTCTGTAAAGAAATTGCTGAAATTATTTCATCTGTTTGCGAACGGGACGTTGTTGCTTTGACGATGGGCTACAGACGACTGACGTCGAAACGTTCCATTCAGATCGGATGGCGCCCTCTCGTGCCAATCCCCCCTGTCCTCAATGATGTAATATTTATAAATAGCGCCCTCAGTGTCCACAGAATGAAAATATGACCATGCATATTTGAACCACATGTAAATGACATCCAACCGGAAGTCAAGTCACAACTATATCGTAATTCAGTAAACAGTAACCCACCTTTCATTTCAATGATAATCTTGTAAATTAAATCAAATATTTACCATTGGTATACACATATATCTAGTAATATTATATGATTGAGCATGATTTATATATTTACGCATTTACCTTCAGTGTGAAGACCACAACACGCACACCTCTGTGGCCATCCATTCAACTTCACAGACGCACGATGTACGTCTTCTATCGTGGAGCCACTGCACTTCCTATTTGACCCGCTCATGTACCACATGGATCTGGCAAAAGCACGATATGTTTGGCTCTGGTGACTAGAGTTCAAAAGCGACTTGAATGTTGTCGCTGACACATTTGATGGGCGTGTCTGTATCAGAAGTCTACAGGCTGCTCCAGATATTGATCGTACAGCTGAAAATGCCATGGCCGTGGCTAAATTTTGTCTTGAACGAGTGAATCCCTTTACTACCACAACGTGACTTTTTTTGCCGAGAGAGACGCATGCGCTGATTACAGCAATTGTATGCGCATGCGTACAATATATATTTCTAGAACCTGCAAGGTCATATGCACCAGCTGTTTTCATTTACAGCGAAACGAAAAAAAATCAGGAGACGATGAGCATTAATGCGATTGACGACTGTATAGATGATTGGAATAATTTGCAGAAAGAATACGCTGTGTTAGAAGTGAGTTATTATTTTTTTCGTTGCTGGCATTTACTCAATTCGTTTGGGTACGGCTGACACATTTTTTTTTTTGGCAACCGTCCGTAATCGGTAGATTGTCATTTTTATGACGAGTTCACCCACGCTTGGTTTTGTATGACAGACAAATACGGTGATTCAACTCGCATTTGGACGTGGGCGACGTGCAACCAGTGAATATAGTTGTGAGTGTTGGTCTATTTACTAACTCATTATGTAACTTTACATATCAGAATCAGACACGACACGCAATTCGATGATATTCAGCTGTTTTACAGAACACCATTGATTAATAAAGTTAATATTATAATGATAGTTATAAGTTTAAGTTTTAATTTAGAACAGTTTTAAAACGATTGCTTGAAATTATATCCAACACCTGGAAAATAATTAAGTGTTTACTGATGCTTGCACTCCAGTTCTCAGCTGCAAAGGCTTGGACAATACTATGAAGCACCATTAATGGAGTTTATCTAGGATTTAATTTAAAGGGAAAGTCAAAGCTAAAATTCACCATTGTGGACCAAGTGCAAGCTTTACTTATGGCTTAACATGTTTTTATCCTTGTTAAACAAAGTCTACTGTTACTATTATTATTATATATCAGAGTTCAGCTCAAAGGTTTATTGGAGCAAAACTTAAAGGCCCAATTCACTTGCCCTGGGCAACTGTGAATTGGAGGTGTGGCTATGCTAATGAGTGTTGTTAATCACTTGCATAGCCTCTGACACATCCTGTTTCAGTGGTCCAACATCACGTGACTTTGATTGACAGTAGTTAATTATTCAAAATTAGTAGCGCGTCTCTTTCCCCGGTTCGTGTTTTTGACATTTATCCGCCAAAATCTCAGCTCGTACACTATTTATTGTCATAAATACTACACACAGTCACTGCTGTGATATTCATAGTCACATGCATCTACTTTGGCACGATATAATCGACCTGTAAGTTTGAGAAATATGCGCTGTTTACTACAGAGTGACAAAAAAGGAAATAATCCCTATTGTTTAGGAGCGTATTTATAGTATACCTGTGCCTTTAAGCCGGCTCAAACCGAATGCATTTACCCGGTACATGTATAGCCATATTTCCTGCTCAAGCTGTTGGAATTCCAATCAAATGAGATTCTGAATTTACATACTAGAAAATAGAATCTTTTGATTGCATCCATTTTGAAAATAACTCATTTATTTACTAGTAGGGGACAAATCAAAATCAAAGTAGTTGGGAAGGAAATTAAGTAAATTTATTGGATGTATTCTATGCACAAAATACAATATCAGTATCTTAAAAGATAAATGTTTTGGAACATTTTCCTCAGTTGCCCAACATCAGTTAGCATACTCTTGAGACTTAATATCAATCCTTAGGTAATCAGAACTGTGAATTATCCAAAATCACTTTTGTACCAAGTTTCATTGGAATTTGATGAGCGGTACTCAAGATATCCATTGAACACCTGGTTAATTGATGCAAATTAGCTAATTAGTAAAGCACAAAATTCAACCCCAAACTGAACATGTATGTAGCTTATCACAGTATCCCACTCATGCACCGAGTTTTGTTTAAATCTGATGAGTGGTCGAGATATTGGTGGAAAATATGCAAATTTAATAGGTAAATAATATCACAGAATGAAACCAGAAACTAATCAGGTCTGCACATTATCCTAGACCATTTATGTATAAAGTTTCATTAAATTCTTTTAGGTAAAAGTGGCTATAATATGCAAATTAGGTATGGCTTTCAACCAAAAACTAATCATATCTATTTGCATACCAGGTATATCATTCCAGAGCATTTATATACCCAGTTTCATTGAAATCTGATAATTGGTACTTGAGATACCATTGGAACAGAAAAACAGAGATACATGCATGCACGCATGCATATGATATAGAAGCACTAAACGCAAAAACTCCCATTGCGTGCTTCGCACACTGAGAGTAAGAAATACACTGGGGTCTAACAACAAGCTTTGTTCAAATAACCACCATCCCAGGGACTTTGAAATAACATATCATTATCAGTTTGATCCACTAGTTAAATATTTTTAGCAGGATGAGTTGAAATAAATTATTAATCTCATCCAACAACAAGGGTTTCAGTTTGCCATACAAAGGGTTCAACAAACTTTTCTCTTTACAATAAAGCTATTTTTAAAAGAAGAACCTGGATACTTGATAATGTTAATGGTTTATTCACTGTTCATAATTTCTCAAAATTGTGTACCAACCCTCAAAAATCAATTCAATTCTGGTACGGTCACTCAATATATGTGTGGAAGAACTATGATTCTGTCACAATGCTAAACAGGAAATTTTTCACACAAATTGTTGCGTTCTTTGTAAGCAAGTTTTAATTTTTACCAGAGCTGAAAGTTAATTTCAAACACTGGTTTATTAACCAATTGGAGTTGTTGATAATTTTATATTTAACTTATTGTACTATAAAGAAATGTTCTAGCGTATATTATGGAATATATTTTGACACTTCATACACAATACAGTATGTTGAGTCAGATGTGAATGTAAACAAATTAAATTTTTCCAATGGCAACATGTTGCCAGGTTTAATTATAAATTATCTTTTTGTTTTTACCACAGGATGATTTCAATACATATCGAAAACAACTGGATCATCTCTATGTACTGCAAGAAAAAAGTCAAAAAATCATCAAACATCAGAAAAGACGATATCAGCTTATTTTAGAAACTTTCAAAAAGTATGTATTTCCACAGTATTTGTTTGAATATTTGTGGGTATCCTGTTAAAGTGCCTGAACTTGTAATTTTACTGGGGTAGTACCGGTACATGTTTTTTATAGTGATTTTGCCCAATATAAATGATTAACTTTGACGACAGTGTTTTAGCAATCTATTTCTGTGTTTGTCAACCCTGTTTAAATATAGAGCATATTTTACTTAGATTTCAATAAAGAATGACAGAGTGTTATATTAATGTTAGTGTTACTGTCAACGTGAGAATAATCTGCTCTGCAATGTTGCAATTTACATTGCTGTTTCGCTAATAATATTGCTATACATATAGCAGCATTGCTTATCAATCATACTAAACAAAATATTGACATCATTAACTATCTCAGTGACATCATCAACTATCTCAGTTACATCATCAACTATCTCAGTGACATCATCAACTATCTCAGTGAAATCATTCATCTATCTCAGTGAAATCATCAACTAGCTCAATTACATCATCAACTATCTCAGTGACATCATAAACTATCTCAGTGACATCATAAACTATCTCAGTGAAATCATTCATCTATCTCAGTGAAATCATCAACTATCTCAATTACATCATCAACTATCTCAGTGACATCATAAACTATCTCAGTGAAATCATTCAACTAGCTCAGTTACATCATCAACTATCAGTGAAATCATTCGACTATCTCAGTTACATCATCAACTACATGTATCTCAGTGACATCATCAACTATTTCAGTGAAATCATTCAACTATCTCAGTTACATCATCAACTATCTCAGTTACATCATCAGCTAGCTCAGTGACATCATCAACTTGCTCAGTTACCTTAAAAACATGCTTAATTTTGCAATGTTTGTAATTTCAGAAATGAGAATAATTTATCATTGAGTGAGCAGGATGCGGTCAAAGACATTAAAGAAAAGATTGCACAGAGACAAGATAATTTCAAACAAATGGGAGATAACCTGCCAAGACCCAGTGGGTAAGGTTACTGTAAAAAATATATTTGAAGCATCAGGGCAGTTATCCAGCATACATACATATTGTGTAGAGAAGAAGTATTTTACACATTCCAGAAACCACATCAGTTTGAAGACAATCCACTAAATATCAGAGACCACAACATTTTAGTTTGCAACCTATGGCCACATAACATGTAAAATTTTTATTTATTCTTAAAATCCCACTTCTAATTAGCTAACAAGCTGACTCAACTTGATTTTGTGAAATTTCATTTTGTAGATCCCTACAAAATCAGTCCTATTTGATCTTGCATGATGTTAGCAGCATTACCATAATTGCTCTATTAGTAGCACATGATTGTCAAAATAAGTAATATTTTAATGATTTGGTATATAGCCAATGCAATTTTTGGTTTACATCGGGTTTACATGCACTTCTATTGGAAATGCACTTTTACTGGTAATAGTCTAGAGCAAATATGGTACTTTATTAGGTTTAGTAAATATTAATCTAGTCTAAACTATTATGGTATGCATAATCCAATTTAACTAAGAACTTGAACTATGGAAACTCATCTGCCTAAGTGATTGAAATTATGCAGGTCATATTTGACAAACTATATGGGCACCAAAGATTCAAAGGTAAACATACATTTTTAGCCCTGCTAATTTTGTTAACCACCTTTTTGAAAGCCTCTCAAATTTAAAATCATTAGAACACTATAATTATTGTATGTATCAGGTCTTATAATTGCTTATTTATTGTATATTAATTTTCCAAGTTTTATTCTACTCTGTAGAAAACTACTGACGTGTGTGCTTGGACCAATCAGTGTTAGTTTACTTAAGAAGTCGGAAAGGTATGTCATACTGGTAATACTTTTTGGCTACAAGTGTATCTGTTATCATGTGTTTTTATAATAATAACAGGTGGAATTGGTAAACACTGTTTTATACAAGTTTAATTTACTTTAATTTGTTTTGAATCTTTTTGAAACTGATAAAGTAATCTTTCCCATGGACAACTGTTGAAATCAGAAAAGATCACAACATTTTGTAACAGAGAACTATTAACTAGACACAATGATTTGTATGAAATGATTGATGGCATACTGTGAAAAGCTTTAATTTTGTGAGAATAATTTTCATGACTCATTGAAGATCGCAAAATTGTCAGTGACTTATTGTGCAGAATATTGTCTTCAGAAATTCCATAAAATCTGGAAACACAAAAATTTGAATTAATTTTCGTTGGAAGTATTTTACAGTAAACTGAATGGTTTACAGAATTGCACTCACTTTAATAAAACCTACATCCAACAAAGGTGTTCACATTGTTTTTTTCAGGTTCAAATATAAAGATGAGTATGAAAAGTTCAAGTTCATCTGCATAATAATTACATTGCTATTCTCTTTTGTAAACCTGTTTATATTAGAGACCAGGTAAGTTGATGCCTAAGTATGCTTGAATAAAGCATACCGTGATATATATACTTTATTTGCCCTTTTTCAAGTACATCTAAAAAAATTGCATTTATTTATAATAGAGCAAATACACAACTGCTTGTTGGAAATTACGCAACTGAATATTACTGTTTTTATGAGTGTCTCCATATCGTAAATTGTTGTAAGGGACACAGTTCATAACAGTGATCTGTGGTAGGGTCATCCATCAAGAGATTTTCAGAAATTTGCTATATATTTTACAAACATAGAGATTTGTATTCTATTGTTAGATTTTTAGATGCCATATTTCATTTTATGCTGTTATGGTACTACTGTACAGTCACATTGAGGGAACACATACTTATGCATAATGGGTCCAGGTAAGTTATGTTCTTTTTACACTTGAAATGTGCATTCTCACTCATAATAAACACTGTGCAAAACAAAACAAAGCATATAAAATCTTATTTTCCTAAAAACAAATAGCTATTTTCCATAATTGAATACATGTATCTATGAATAGTTAAAAAAATAGATTGGATGTCCTGTGCGAGTCTGGAGACGTCATGTTATCAATACTGCCTACAATGTATGTTTTGTTCTAATTTCACACACTTCATAGAAATTCACTGTGCAAGGCATCAACCAAAAATCAAAATCTCTGCTTACTTATTTATTTGGAAGAATGGCGTGGCTTGTGGATGTAAAGCTTACCGACCACTGCTGTTTTCATGCACATAAAATATCACAGTAAACCTTGTCTTAATTAATTCTATAGCTGTCTGTCACTTGTTTGGGTTAACTCGTAATTTGCTTGCAATATGAATTTGCTAACTGCTATCAATTTTTAATACTGTTATCATATGTATATTTGACAGGATCAAAGGCTGGTGGGTGTTCCATCATTATATATCATGTGTATTATCTGGAATATTACTTATCTGGCCTGATGGACATGTGTATCATTTATTTAGAAGACAGTTCATGGCTTTTTCACTCTACCTTAGTATGTATTATCTTTATTCTTATTTC